CAGTACTCCAGATGAGGCCTCACCAATGTCGAATAGAGGGGAACGATCACGTCCCTCGATCTGCTCGCTATGCCCCTACTTATACATCCCAAAATGCCATTGGCCTTCTTGGCAACAAGGGCACACTGCTGACTCATATCCAGCTTCTCGTCCACTGTCACCCCTAGGTCCTTTTCCGCAGAACTGCTGCCTAGCCATTCGGTCCCTAGTCTGTAGCTGTGCATTGGGTTCTTCCGTCCTAAGTGCAGGACCCTGCACTTATCCTTATTGAACCTCATCAGATTTCTTTTGGGGTTCAATAAGAACCCCCTTTGGGGTTCAATTACGAGAGACTTGTGAGGACGAGCAGGACTTGGGTAGCCTGAACCGAAGACAGAGGCAATCTGGTAGCCCTCCGGAAATTTCGTGAAGGAGGGGGGTGCCCCAGGGCAGGGGATGAACTAGTTGATCCAAGAATAAAGGGGGATAAACTGGCCAGGGACCAGCCGGTCTGAAAACGGGAAGGTTTCTAACTGTCGGGTCTAGGAAGAGCCGGGGGAAAACATCCTCACCCGCTGGAAGCTGGATATGTTTATTGATGAGGGGGCCTCAGTGAGCGAAGCCAATTCCAGTCCTGCTCTCCCACATCGGGATACCCTGGCACTCGTTAAATCAGTAACGGCATCAAGCCAGACAGGTGCAAGAGATGTCTAAGGAAGCTCAGCCAGACGCCTGCCTTGTTCCCGTAACGCTTCCCACGGTCATGGCGCCCAGCAACCGCTTGCCACGTGGCTTTAAATACAGAACCATGACCCGTTCCTTTGGCCAAGGGGTCCCATGCGATGGACCCCAGGTAAGAACCGCTCCCCAGGGCTCTGGGGAAGTGGTGGACTGAATCTGGATCTAGACGCCAGGCCAGAAGGGATCTGATCACCAGCTGGATCTCCTGTATAGCACACGTCAATCCAGCACACCCAGACTGCATCTTGCATTTCTTCCCGACAGGCTTCCAGCCTTGGAGGAGAAGCTGGAGCGCCTGCCGACAACGGTAACGCAGAGATGAATTCAGCCTCTTCCCAGGGCTGGCCACGGCGGAGGGGAAGAAACCCACCCCACTGGTGCACGTTGGCCAGCCCTGGATTGCTCCGGCCACATTCCACAACAAAACCACCAGTGCTCAGCTCACAGAAACCCGGACCCGGACCGAGAGGCGCCCATTCCAACCCGAACCTGCCCTACGCCTCCGGCACTCGCTCTTCAGTACTTCAGTGGCTCCTGTAATCCTAGGGTCTGAGCCCCTCACAATCCTTAATGGATTTATGAGAGTCCCGATGGAACGTTTTGCCCTCAAAAATGCTGTTTTGTCAAAAAGAAAACTTTCCACAAAAGCATGTTGATTTGATGACGTTTCATCTGTGGGGCAAGGAGAGGGGGCTTGAAACAAAGCATTTCAACCCCAGGGGAACAGCTACCTGTCTCATTCTGAAATGTACTTTATGTTCTAAATTACAGATGGCTCCATTTTTCATTTCAAAATGTATTTTATTTTATATTCTAAATTATAATATAAGATCCAATTTCAACTGATTTTAATTGGAACAAAACATTTTTGACCTTATAGGAATATTTCAAGGTTATTTTATATTCTAGATCATAACAACGTATGATTTAAAAAATCGAAAAGGTACCAAAGCATTTTGACCTGGTGAGAGCACTCTGATTTCAGGTCTGCTCTGCGGAAGGAAAAATCGAACGCCCAACTACAAACTGGGAAACAACGGCTAGCTGGGGGTTAGAGCAGATCCCAAATCACACGTGAGCCACCAGTGCGAAGCAGTTGGGAAAGGGGCTAATACCGTTATCAGGAGTGCCAGACGTAGCCCTCCGGAGGGAACTGTCCCACTCTGTGCGGTCTCAGCCGGAGTAGTGTCCGGTTCTGGGCACCACATGTTAGGAAGGATATGGACAAATTAGAGAGAGGCCAGAGGACAGCAACAAAACCCATCAACGGTTTAGCAAACCTGCCCTGTGAGGAAAGGTTAAAACGCTGTCATGTTTAGTCTGGAGACCAGAGGACTGAGAACAGCCTTCAAATCCATTAAGGGCTGTGATAAAGAGGATGGGGATCAATTGTACTCCATGGCCACTGACTGTAGGAAAAGAAGCAATGGGCTTAATTCGCAGAAGGGAGCCGAGAGTAGATGCTAGGAAATGCTTTGTAACTCTGACAGCTCAGCTCTGGAATCAGCTGCCACGGGAGGTTGTGGGATCCCCAATGTCGGGGGTCTTAGGAACAGCTGGACAAACCCGTCAGGGATGCTCTGGGTTTCCTTGGTCCTGCTGCAGGGCTGCTCTAGATGACTTGGCAAGGTCCTTTTCACTCCTACCTCTCAGTGATTCCATGATTTTTCATGTAGGGAATAATTTGATTGTATATTCTGAACAATACAATATACGCTGTAAATCGGAAGGAGACTTTTCAACCTCGGGCCATTTCAATCATTCATTTTCCAATGTATCGTAGTTCGTATTCTAAACTATAATAAAAGACAACTGAAAAATGTTGAAATCCAAAGGAGACATTTTGATTTCATCAGAACGTGTCCATTCTTCATTTCTCTAGTTATTGTATCAATGCAAAGGAACAATTAAAAAGGTGAAAATCGGAACAAAACATCAGGACTTGATCGGAACGTTCCAACCAACCCGGGACAAAGCAATTCCCAAATTCCGTTTGGTGGAAACCTGCTGCTGTCTTACAACAAGACCAGGTTTCAAGATGGCGGAATTTCCCGCAAACCAGAACCTGAGGCTCCTGCTGGAGCCCTGGATTTCTCCCCGCACGCCCCAGGACGGACACCACTGCAGAACAGCGCCCGGCTGTCCGAAGAGACAAAGCAACTTGTTTACGCAGGAAGCCTGCAGCGTCTAACAGATGTGGGCCGGCCTCCCAGGCCAGGGCTGACTCACCGTGCGTGCGCAGCGCCTGGCGCACGAAGGCCCACCGGCCATAAATCTCGATTACCCAGCGTCAGGCCTGGATACCATGGTGATACCACGACCAAGTTCTAGTAGTGGTAGTGAGGCAGTGGGGTCTTGTCAGAACTTCCGGGTTCTTTTCCCGGCTCTGCCAGTTGCTGTGTGACCTCGGTCAACTCACTTCCCTGATCTGTGCCTCAGTTTCCCATCCTGCTGCTTTGTCTGTTTAAACTATCTGCTCTTCGGGGGGAGGGCAGCACTCGGCGCTGCTCGTTTGCCCTAATTCTGCTGATTGGCTTTTCAGCTGGGACATGAAAACGCCCAAGGGGCTGAGCCTCGGGCCCTCGGAAAGGCGTCGTTCCTCGGCTGCTACGGCTGTACCTCACAAGAGTGACTCAGTGACATGGCGTCAGGCTCGCTCCCTGGGCGGCCTTTCAACTCAGGTCCCCCGGCAGAGCGGCCGGAGCCGCCCAGGTGCAGGAGCCGCGGGGACCTGATCTGGGAAGCCCACGCACCGGCACCTGGGAGTGCAGCGCGGCAAGGACGGTAAGATACGACTGGCCGGGGCTTTAAACTTTTCCTTCCTTCCCGCTGCACCCCAGGCAAAGCTGAGGCCTGCCTTCCACACGCCTGGCTCAGAGGGCTCCTGCGAGTTACTTGGCACCTGAAAGGTGGGTCCAGGTGCCTCCACGTTTTCGGGGTGCCCGACTTGAGACCCCTTTGAAAGGGCCCTGGTCACCGGCCCTCTGAAAAAAGGCCCCTCTGGGCCCAAAAGATAAAGACATCTAAAATCACTCATTTTTAAAACCTCTGCATACGTGTCCCTCTGAGGAGAGACCGGGGACCCCCCTGCATCAAGTGCCGCACAGATCCCCCCCCCCCGACTGAAACTGCCCCCCCAGCATGCTGGGAGCTGCACAGACAGAAATTGGACCCCCCCCCCCACTCTGCCAGGAGTACCACAGACCCTGCCCTCCACTGAGATCAGGGCTCTTCCTATGACACAGACCCCCCCCCCCCCCCCCCCCCAAGATCTGACCTCCCCTTCACTGCACTGGGCTCTCCAACCTGAACAGTCCTCGACCTAGTTAATTATCAACCAGACGAGGCAAAGAGTGGGGAAGGGAAACTGAGGCCTGGGGTGGGGCAGGGACTTGCTCCGTCACCCAGCAGGGTAGAGGCACAAACTGGGAACGAGCCCCTTGTCAGTGATGTAGGCTGCATGTGGAGTCACGCGGGACCTCTGCGGGCCACACAGAGAAACCAAAGGGCATCCTCCACGCGGGGCAACCTCACCCAGCCAGCCACGCCGTGGTCAGAGAACGGCACGGGGCCGGACAGAGCTGCCCTGAGGGCCAGATCCGGCTCCACAGGCTGGAGACCTGGATGAAACTGAACAAGCCTGAGGGGCAGCCAACTAAGGCAAAAATCAACCAGACCCTCCCGCTGGTTAGAAAACAGAGCAACAGACCCCACAGCCCACTGCCGGAGCCCACCACCAGGCAGGAAGGAGCTTGGCTAATTGCTTGGCAGGGGGCTGTCCCGCGCAGTCCTGCCCACCCGGGACTCATGGTGCGCCGCCCCTCCCCAAAGAGCAGCGCTGAGCAAATGGCAGCATTGTGAGGGGAATGTCACCAGGCCCCCGGCTGCAATCAGGGGACCCGCCATCTCCGCTGGGAGCCGCACAGACCGCCCCCCCCCCGCCGGCTGCAATTGGGGGACCCGCCATCTCCGCTGGGAGCCGCACAGACCCCCCCTCCCCCCGCCGGCTGCAATCGGGGGACCCGCCATCTCCGCTGGGAGCCGCACAGACCCCCCCTCCCCCCACCGGCTGCAATTGGGGGACCCGCCATCTCCGCTGGGAGCCGCACAGACCCCGCCCAGCTGCGATAAAGGGACCTGCCCTCCATGCTGGGTGCTGCACTCCTTGGCTGCGATTGGGCACTCTTTTGCATCAGGCTCCCCAAACAAGCCTGGAGACCCCTGTTCATGCCAGGGCACACAGACCACCCCCGAGATTGGGGGGACCCCTCTGCACCGACCTTCACCTATGCTGAGATTCAGGGGCTCCTCGACTGTTCCGGCCAGTTTGCCAAATGTCCCAGGGCAACTCGGTGTCAGACCCCCGAGCCTGGCAAAGCCAGACTCAAGTGCGGCGCTTGCCGAGTGGCGAGAGACATTCCCAGTGACCCAAAGCCGAGGGGCTGGCAGACGCTGTCCCAGCACAGAAGGTGGGAGAAGTCTTCCTTCCCCACCCCGTAGCCAGCTCAACGGCCGCTCGAGTCACACTCCCCTTTTCAGCAGCTTGGGCAATTCCTCGCCCACAGAGAGGGACAAACTAAAGCATCCCCAGGCCTTTTCTGCCAGCAGCTTTTTAAAAGTCCAGGCGGAGGGCTCACAGCGAGGGGCAGGAGCTCACTTCGCCACGGAGGGGAGCGTGTGGGCGTGGCGGGGGGCCAGAGGAAAGCAGGCACAGAGCAGTTTTCGAGAGGGTGCCTGCGATCAACGTTAGCAGCAAAGAGGAGTCTGGTCCCATGGATCGGCGCCGAAAAGGGGCCTCTGCACAGAGCAGTCAGGGAGAGTGAGACGCAGCCGCCTGAGGGCTGGGCTGCCAGGAGAGGGCAGGAGGGGAGCGGCGTGCGCACTCGTGGGCGGGAATCGTGCGAGCAACGTGCTCAGACACGGAGCCAGCGACGGGAGGGGGCTTTCTGCCCATGCCGCCCTGCCTGGGGACACCTGGCTGCCAGCTCCAGCCACTTCCTCAGAGCACAAGTCCTTTACACCTGACTCTTAGAGAAGAAAGAAATGCGGGGGGTGAGGGCGCTTGACATGCGTGCGCGCCCCACTGCCCCCAACTAAACCCCAGCGCCAAATCCCCCCATCAACTCAGGCAGGACACACTCTGCCCCTGGGGGACCGGCCTCACTTCCCTCCGGTAACCATGGCATTTCTGCAAGTCTCAGATTCCGACGGGCCGGATCCCAGGTGGCGACAGTCGGCTGGAGCCCCGCCGGAGCTGGATCCCGGGTGGCGACAGTCGGCCGGAGCCCTGCCGGAGGCGACGGGCCAGATCCCGGGTGGCGACAGTCGGCCGGAGCCCCACCAGAGCCAGATCCCGGCTGGCTACAGTTGGCCGGAGCCCCACTGGAGGCGACGGGCCGGATCCCGGCTGGCTACAGTTGGCCGGAGCCCCACCGGAGGCGACGGGCCGGATCCCGGCTGGCTACAGTCGGCCGGAGCCCCCACATTAAGTTACAGCCATTTGGTCGGCCTGCAACAGCTGCAAGATCCAACCTGTAGATTTGAAGATATTTAACTTATTGTCTGAACTTAACTTCTGCATCACCCAGGCTGCAACTCCGTGGTGGCAGGCACCTACTTCATCCTCCAACGTACAGGAGGAGAGTCAAGGCCCTTTGTTGAACTACCTTCCAGCTTGCATGGGCTGGCAGCAATGTTGCGGGTACCCTGGCCACGTCCCAGCTCATGGCAAAGCCTCAGGTGTGACCCCACCCTGCTGCAGCCTGACCCCATAGATCACCGGCTTTAACTCTCAGAGGGATGGATTTGAGCTGCCAATGAAAAGCACGGCCTAAAACCCCCCTCGTGCCACATGTGTGACTAACTTGGCCCGGTGCTAACCAGAAGCAGGCCATGTGTCACGCTGCAAACTGGTCGAGGAGCCGAGTGAGCTCCCGTTGCCGCTCCGGGGCAGTGGCCACCCTGGGCTTCGCAGCTGAGAAGGGACTCGCAAGCTGAACACCTGGGGCCGGGAATTCACTGGAGTTTGCCAGGACGCAGGCAGGCTCTCCGTGGTCCAGGCTCTCTGCCTTGCTGCACCAGGCAGTGCAGGCACCCTCCGGCCGAGACTGGGGTCCCCCATCAAGCCACGCACCACACAGCCCCTCTCATCTATAGCTGGGATCCACACTGCACCAGGCACTGTGCAGAACCCCCCATGTCTGGTCCTGGGGTCCCTGTTGTGCTGGCTGCTGCATAGACCCCCCCGTCTGAGGGCTCCGGGGTCCCAGCATTGCACCAGGTGCTGCCCAGACCCTGACTGAGATCAGAGCTGCACACACCCCACCCGCCTCGTGCGAGGTGCTGCACAGATTCCTGCCCCGGGGTGAGATCAGTGCTCACCCACATCCCCGACCGCACAGACACCCCCTGGAAGAGACTGGGACCCCCCCATCACGCCAGGCGCTGCACAGAGCTATGAGAGACCACCCCGACCCAAAGATCTGCCAGTCTCAGGAGGAAAGGAAGGGCCGTATCCCATCCTTCAGCGTCTCAGGGACACGCTCTAGTGGGACGAGCGAGACTGGCCTGCGCAGCAGCTCCAACGCCTGGGGCCTTCCACTGCCATAAATAAAAACAATTAATGCTTGAGGCCATTAGCGGGGAGGGCAGGCTCTGGTATAGAGGGGCCCTGATCTCAGTTGGGCAGTAGGGTATCAGAGAGACAATGGGGCTGGGCACAGGGGTCTGCACAACACCCGGCACACCGGGGGGCCCCCCCGACCTGGGTTGGGGCCCGTGCAGCGCCCGGCACACTGGGGGGCCCCCGACCTGGGTTGGGGCCCGTGCAGTGCCCGGCACACCGGGGGGGCCCCCGACCTGGGTTGGGGCCCGTGCAGCGCCCGGCACACCGGGGCACATTCTCAGTCGTGAGCTCTAAGCCCCCCGTGACACAAATCCGCCATAAAATCGTAACCACACGAATGCCACTGTATACGCTGGCTGAGTGAACCCAGTGCAGCAACTTCCACGCCAAGCAGGGACAAGTGTTCATTTCAGGATGAAACAGACAGCGTGCAGGAAGGTGAAATTCTCCGCCCTGAGACCTGGGTCAGGGAAGTGACTCAGCGGAGAGGCCAGGGCGAGAACCCAGGCATCCTGCAGCCCGGCCCAGCGCCAACATTTCAAACAAGTTTCACTTTCTGCTCCCTGCCTCTCCCCATGGCAGAGAGCTGGTTCACAGCCGCACCGGACCCGAAGCTGCTATTTGCAGAGGAAACTTACAAAAGAATTTTAATATCCTGCTTTCAAACCCCTCAAACTCACAGATTTCAGGGGATGGGGGAGCAAAGGAACACGTCTCCCGTGCTGCCGCATCCAAGCGTTGAACGCCAACGCCGTGCAGGGGCGGGAAGGGCTCTCTCAGAGCACCGGGGTGACGGACAGATCCGAGCCAACAGACGTGGTGGGCTCGAGGTAAACACGAGTTAAAGCGCTTTGCGATCCAAGCTGGTTCCAGCCTGGTTTTCACAAGGGCGGACTGAGATCACCGCTGGGCTCGAGCCCCGTGTCGCGAGCGAAAAAGGAGGGGCTTGCGAATGGCGGCTGGGCTCTTGGGGTTTCCCTGAGAACTCCAAAGCAGCAGGCCCCAGCCCCGAGCCATCTGAGGCTGCACTTGTGGACGTTCACAAGAGGCTTGCGGAGTCAGGCCTGATTTCCTACCTCCGACTCGGTCCAGCCGATCCCAAACCACTCTCTATACGATACTTTCACACAGCGACAGATTTTGACGCCTGCCTCGGGAACCCCCGGGCTGTGTTTGCCACCGCACCTCGTAGGAGCTTCTTCAGATTCACAAATGAAAAAGACCTGGTCACGGTGAGAGCAGAACGGGACTCTGGCCCAGCAAAGTTCACGGAGGCGACGAGAACAAACCCTAAGCTCTGGGCACAAATTGGAGCACCTTCTACCAAGCCAGCCTCCAAACTGCTGGCTCCTGGAGCAGAGAGAAAGGTGGCCAGCTGTGGCCACCCCGACCGCACACGGAGAGTGCCGGACAGATGAAGATCCCCCAGCAATCCAGACAAACGGCACAGGGTGATCCCCTGCAATAAAGACACACCAGCACCGGCTGCACAGCACAGAGGAGGGACCGTTCGGCAGCCCTTCAGCCTCCAAAAATATAATCTCCGCGTCCCGGCCAAAACCACCAGAAGCCTGGTTTTATCTGCTGCGTACTGGGCTCCCGCAGCTCACCCGCCCATCGCTGGCGAGGGGGCTCCACCCTCCAGTGCCTGCTCCACACCCTCGATGCACCAAGAGTGCCGTTAACAAACCAACGTACGCCAGGTGGCTACTCCCTAACGCACGCACTCTTATCGATCACTGCTATTACAGCCGTCGCCAGAGGGAGGCCCCTGTTGTGCCAGGCAAGCCCGCACTAACCGAGATTGGGGTCCCCCATCAAGTCAGATGATGGATGGGCTCCTCTCAACAGAGATTGGGGGTCCCCTCATTGCTGCTGACAAACATCGGGGACCCTTTTCACACCAGGCTCAACACACCTCAACCTGGATCGGGGCCCCCCCATCGCAATGGGCATCCCTGATGGGAGCCCGTTGCTCTGGGCGGGTCCCAACCCACCCAACTAGCGTAGCCAACTCTTGGGAATTCATCACAAGTCTCGCGACACGTCGTGGGTTTTCTTCCCCAAAGCCCCAGCTCCTGGGGTCATTTGAGTATGGGCAGAATGTCAGACTTCAATTAATTTCCAGGGCTCACAAGTCTGGAGAAATCCTCGAGAAACCTGACCCCCAGCAGTACAAACCCTCAAAAGCCCCATATTTGGGCAGGGGCAAAAGAGTTTGGGATTTTTACATGGATCTGGTTTTTGGTACATTTGGGGTAGACACCGGGAAAGCTGCAGCGTATACCCCTGCTGAGAGAGAGACAGCAAACATCCCACCAGGAATGCAGCTGCTGGCCCCTGTTTGTGCCTCTCAGGGACGGGATGTAACATTTCAATGACCTCCCTTTCAAACTCCCCTTAAGAGCGTGTGGCGAACATGGGCTGGAGGGGGGGCCAATTGATGGCTCCTGCTTCGGGGGTTTTGCCAACTGCTCTCCTTTAGTGCTCCCTAAGCTGTTGTGAGTGGCTGGACTTCTCACGGCCCAAAGAAAGCATGGCCCTGCCCATCTCGGGCACTTGGGACATTTTGCCAATGCTCGGATCCCTTCTCCAAAGGCATTAAAACCCCAGGGGGCTAAGCAAGCAGACAGAGTGTCACGCTAACAACTAATGGGTCTGGCTCAGGGGTCTCTGCACAGCCCAGCCCTGGGTGTTAAAACCAGGATCCCAGTTATAACAGCCTCTAGGCCCTTTGAAGCCCTTCTCCCGCAGTCCTGACCCGTCACCATCAGCACTTCAGCTGACCAACTGGTTCCTCTTTGGACACTGCAGACACAGCGTCAAGACGTAACTCGACATCAAAACGAAACAGATGCAGACAGCTAGGGGCTGGTCGGCAGGTTTTTGCCAAATAAGAGATCAGTCTTCATAAAACCGGGCTTCCACAGCCAATTCATGTCCTTTCCCTTTCGAAAACCACCCTGCCCGTAACCATTTCCTCCTGATGCAGCTTCATGCAAGTTCCCAAAATGCCAATTCACAATATTTAAGCTTAACGGTCGCATGGGAGTGAACGTCTCTTCACGCTCCCAGCACGAAAGAACAGCTTCTTACATGATCTTCCGCCAGGCGCATCGATGCTCAACATTTATCCCATGTTCACTAATTAAAGCGGGGCAGAACGACACAGTCTCAGCCCCACAGAGCTTATAACGTGTGGCAAAAGTGTGGGAAGCGCTATGCATTACCACCCAGATCTGGGCCCTTGGTACAGACTATACGTTAATTCTGCCTCGATTACACACACTGCCCGATTCACCAGACCCTGAGTAACCCCAGCTCTCAGGTAATCCAGGTGGCTCGTGCTAGCTGCAAGCGTAACTCCTATTGCACTCTCAGAGTAAGTTTCTCCCCAGAGACGGGTGCTTTCCTGTCTCCACTGGAGATCCCGGCTCCTGTATGCCCGATTCCGACGCCATGCACGGAGCGAGAATTCATGTCCTACGAGTGTCACACTCAAACAATCCCCTCCTGCAAAAACCCCTGCGATTTTGTTGGGTAAACAGCGATCCCGTCAGGACCGGCGTGGGAGGTCATCCCCATGCTACACAGAAGAGTGGGGAAAACCAGTGGAAGAGGAAGCCTGAAGCCAGGAGACCGGGGTGAAAAATTTGTGCCCAAGGAGGGAAAATGTCATGAAGCGGACAGGGCTCAGGTGACGGTCTGCACGGAGATTACCAGAAGGGCTGGTGGGAGTGCAGGGGGACAACACGGCTGGGACGCTGCAGGAGTTGGCACCAGATGGATAGTGCTTTGGTGCTTGGAACTTGACGCTGCCCGGCAATAATGCCTTAGCGTGAGCGTGCCACGACATCCTGGGGAGGTGAGGCGTTTGCAGAAGCATGCAGGCCACGGCACTTTGGGCCCCTGGTGTGGGTGGTGTGGCAAGGGAGCTGGCAATGAGTGAGGCTGGGGGGGCATCGCAGGACTTGATGTGAGAGGGAATCGGGCAGCAACATAGCGCCCAGGAGGGAGAGGAGCTGTTGGCGTGAGCCAGGCCGTGCAGCACCACGTGCAGTAGTGGGGGGCATGGCACGAGTGGGGGGAGGGGGTTGGCGCGGGCCGGGCCGGGCCGGGCAAGGGGGGGTTGGCGCGGGCCGGGCCGGGCCGGGCAAGGGGGGTTGGCGCGGGCCGGGCCGGGCCGGGCAAGGGGGTTGGCGCGGGCCGGGCCGGGCCGGGCAAGGGGGGTTGGCGCGGGCCGGGCCGGGCCGGGCAAGGGGGGGTTGGCGCGGGCCGGGCCGGGCCGGGCAAGGGGGGGTTGGCGCGAGCCGGGCCGGGCCGGGCAAGGGGGGTTGGCGCGAGCCGGGCCGGGCCGGGCAAGGGGGGTTGGCGCGAGCCGGGCCGGGCCGGGCAAGGGGGGGTTGGCGCGAGCCGGGCCGGGCCGGGCAAGGGGGGGTTGGCGCGAGCCGGGCCGGGCCGGGCAAGGGGGGGTTGGCGCGAGCCGGGCCGGGCCGGGCAAGGGGGGGTTGGCGCGAGCCGGGCCGGGCCGGGCAAAAGGGGGGTTGGCGCGAGCCGGGCCGGGCCGGGCAAGGGGGGGTTGGCGCGAGCCGGGCCGGGGGGCTGGGCCGGGGGGGTTGGCGCGAGCCGGGCCGGGCCGGGGGGGCTGGCGCGAGCCGGGCCGGGCAAGGGGGGTTGACGCGAGCGGGCCGGGCCGGGCAAGGGGGGTTGACGCGAGCCGGGCCGGGCCGGGCCGGGCAAGGGGGTTGGCGCGACCGGGCCGGGCCGGGCCGGCAAGGGGGGTTGGCGCGGCCGGGCCGGGCAAGGGGGTTGGCGCGAGGGGCGGGAGAAAGGGGGGCCGGGCCGGGCAAAGAGGGGTTGGCGCGAGCCGGGCCGGGCAGAAGGGGGGTTGGCGCGCCGGCCGGGCCGGGCCGGGCAGGGGGGGTTGGCGCGAGCCGGGCCGGGCCGGGCCGGGCAGGGGGGGTTGGCGCGAGCCGGGCCGGGCCGGGCCGGGCAGGGGGGGGTTGGCGCGAGCCGGGCCGGGCCGGGCCGGGCAGGGGGGTTGGCGCGAGCCGGCCGGGCCGGGCCGGGCAGGGGGGTTGGCTGGCGCGAGGCCGGGGGGGAGGGGGGGCCGGGCCGGGCGGGCCGGGCAGGGGGGGGGTTGGCGCGAGCCGGGCCGGGCCGGGCCGGGCAGGGGGGGTTGGCGCGAGCCGGGCCGGGCCAGGCGGGTTGGCGCGAGCTGGGCCGGGCCGGGCGGGTCGGGTTGGCGTGAGCTGGGCCGGGCAGGGGGGGTTGGCGCGAGCCGGGCCGGGCCGGGCCGGCGCGAGCCGGGCCGGGCCGGGCGGGTTGGCACGAGCCGGGCCGGGCCGGGCAGGGGGGTTGGCACGAGCCGGGCCGGGCCGGTTGGCGTGACTTGGGGGCGGGGGGGCGTTGTCAGGCGGGAGCCAGGCTGGTCGGCACGGGGGGGGTGTTGGCGCGAGCCGGGCCGGGCCGGGCCGGGGGGGTTGGCGCGAGCCGGGCCGGGCCGGGCCGGGCCGGGGGGGTTGGCGCGAGCCGGGCCGGGCCGGGGGGGTTGGCGCGAGCCGGGCCGGGCGGGTTGGCGTGAGCCGGGCCGGGCACGGGGGATTGGCGCGAGCCGGGCCAGGCGGGTTGGCGCGACCGGGCCGGGCGGGCGGGCGGGTTGGCGGCGGGCCGGGCCGGGCCGGGCGGGTTGGCGCGAGCCGGGCCGGGCCGGGCCGGGCGGGTTGGCGCGAGCGGGCCGGGCCGGGCCGGGCCGGGCCGGCGGGCGGGCGGGCAGGGGGAGCCGGGCCGGGCCGGGCAGGGGGGTTGGCGCGAGCCGGGCCGGGCCGGGCAGGGGGGTTGGCGCGAGCCGGGCTGGGCGGGTTGGCCTGACTTGGGGGCGGGGGGGGGCGTTGTCAGGCGGGAGCCAGGCTGGTCGGCACGGGGGGGGGGTTGGCGTGAGCCGGGCCGGGCCGGGCGGGTTGGCGCGAGCCGGGCCGGGCCGGGCCGGGGGGTTGGCGCGAGCCGGGCCGGGCCGGGCCGGGCCGGGCCGGGGGGTTGGCGCGAGCCGGGCCGGGCCGGGCCGGGCCGGGGGGTTGGCGCGAGCGCGAGCCGGGCCGGGGGGCCGGGCCGGGCCGGGGGGGTTGGCGCGAGCCGGGCCGGGCCGGGCCGGGCCGGGCCGGGGGCTTGGCGCGAGCCGGGCCGGGCCGGGGGGCCGAGGGGGCTGGGCGCGGGCCGGGCGGGGGGCCGGGCGGGCCGGGAGGGGTTGGCGCGAGCCGGGCCGGGCCGGGCAAGGGGGGTTGGCGCGAGCCGGGCCGGGCCGGGCAAGGGGGGTTGGCGCGAGCCGGGCCGGGCCGGGCAAGGGGGTTGGCGCGAGCCGGGCCGGGCCGGGCAAGGGGGGTTGGCGCGAGCCGGGCCGGGCCGGGCCGGGGGTGTTGGCGCGAGCCGGGCCGGGCCGGGCTGGGCGGGTTGGCGCGAGCCGGGCCGGGCTGGGCCGGGCGGGTTGGCGCGAGCCGGGCCGGGCCGGCCGGGGCAGGGGGGGTTGGCGCGTTAGCCGGGCCGGGCCGGGCAGGGGGGGTTGGCGCGAGCCGGGCCGGGCCGGGCAGGGGGGGTTGGCGCGAGCCGGGCCGGGCCGGGCAGGGGGGGTTGGCGCGAGCCGGGCCGGGCCGGGCTGGGCGGGTTGGCGCGAGCCGGGCCGGGCAGGGCGGGTTGGCGCGAGCCGGGCCGGGCCGGGCAGGGGGGTTTGGCGCGAGCCGGGCCGGGCCGGGCGCGTTGGCGCGAGCCGGGCCGGGCCGGGCGGGTTGTCGCGAGCCGGGCCGGGCCGGGCCGGGCGGGTTGGCGCGAGCCGGGCCGGGCGGGTTGGCGCGAGCCGGGCCGGGCCGGGCGGGTTGGCGCGAGCCGGGCCGGGCCGGGCCGGGCCGGGCGGGTTGGCGCGAGCCGGGCCGGGCCGGGCCGGGCGGGTTGGCGCGAGCCGGGCCGGGCCGGGCCGGGCGGGTTGGCGCGAGCCAGGCCGGGCCGGGCCGGGCCGGGCGGGTTGGCGCGAGCCGGGCCGGGCCGGGCCGGGGGGGGTTGGCGCGAGCCGGGCCGGGCCGGGCCGGGCCGGG